TTGCGTACCTTAGTTCAATTTGGGGGTTTAGTGTAGACCAAGTCTTAGAAGTGTGAGTGATCCTTCCACCCCTCGCTCCATCAGTTGTCTCTGTTGGGTGGTTAGTTCCTAGCCAACGAGCTGTGGAGTATTTATGTTCAAGCCACTTTGGCCCTTTCCACATTGCGGTTGAACCCAAACTAGCAGTGTCTTTATTGGTTGTTGCTAGGGTAGCATGGATGGAGTCTTTTAAAATCTATGTCCCATTGGCAGCAACGTGAACATGGATGCGCTGTCTGTACCCAGCTGCTGCTCAGTGGGCAGCCTCTCAAGATGGAGAACTCTTCCAGTTCCAAAGTGCTGCCTCTGAGGTGGAATATGGAAGCTGTCTGGCTTCTCGCAGCAACACTACTCCACAGATTAGCGCAGGAAGTGGAGACTCTCCGATCCAAATGAAACTTCACTGGGAGTTTAGGGAGGCAAAATTGAAGTCCTAGGTCAGTCCAGATAGGACAACAAACTTATGGGAAAAGTGCCATAAGATCGTTAGTGGCCATGAGTACTTAGTGCCTTGGTATTGCACCCCACAGAGGGCACTGTCAGCAGCCTAGCACCACCCTGGGGCACCGGCTCTGTGCTGATTAAGAGGACAGAGCACTAGCTATTGAATCACCAAAACCACTTCCTGACGCGACTCATTTTTTTTATTGCAGGTCAGTTATCTGGGGGTTGACTGGGCCCAACCCTCCTTAGCTTGCAGGAGCTGAAGGGACCTTAGCATGTGGGAATGCAGCCGTAGACAATTAAAAAAAAAACATTTAAAACTTGTCCGGCGTTGTGTCCCTCCAATCCCCTCCTATGTCCATGGATGCTCCCTCTTTAATAAATAAATAAATAAATAAAATAAAAATTGCACGACTGTGCTGCAATTCTATCTGTTTTAGATACTTATATGCTCCCCCAGTCTTTAATATATTTTATTCCCTGCTATATAATATTACAGTATTTGCAGTGTTGTGGGAGGAGGGTTGGCCCCTGGATATGAGAAAGACAAGGCAGGTGAGGTAGTATCTTTATATAGGACCAACTCTGTTGGTGAGAGAGCCAAGATTTCGAGCTACAATGCTTGTCTCTTTCACCAACAGCGGCTAGTCCAATAAAGGGTATTACCTCACCCACCTTATCTCACTAGTATTTAGCAGGCAGGCCTGTTATTCCCCTTTTACAGACGAGGGCACAGAGAGTAAGCGACTTCTTCCACATCACACACGTCTGCGGTAGAGTAAGGAGTTGAACTGTGTTTTCCTGACTCCCAGGTTGGATCTCTCATCCCTGGACCAGCCTACACCAGAAGCCCTAGTTCTATTACAGTGGCTGTTGTTATTCTACCTTCCTGAAATCAGGCGATTCCTCACGTTTGCTCCTGCTTCAGCCAGTAGAGCCTGACTAACCAGGTGCTTGTTTACTTCCTGTCTGTGTTCTCCTGGGGCAGAAGGTGGAGAGTGAAATAAAACATTTTGGATAGACTTTGAGCTGCTTTGTGGGTCTGTCTATGTTTCTCTGCTCCACCCCGTCTGTGCCACAGAATTGCAACACTCTGCCTTTTATGGTAGGCTGGGATTTCGCATCCCCTTATCAGGCTGTGAATCACCTTGGTATGTGGCATCTAATGCTCAGGATCCCCGGATGTAATGGGGAGAGCAGGCAGGACACTTGGACCCTTTTCGAGCAGTGCTGTCCAAGCTGTCTAGTGTGCTGCCACTGAAGTGACCAAGGCTACATCTACACTACAGGGGGGGGTCGATTTAAGATACGCAAATTCAGCTACGCGAATAGCGTAGCTGAATTCGACGTATCGCAGCCGACTTACCCCGCTGTAGGGACGGCGGCAAAATCGACCTCTGCGGCTTCCCGTCGACGGCGCTTACTCCCACCTCCGCTGGTGGAGTAAGAGCGTCGATTCGGGGATCGATTGTGGGACGTGATAAATCGATCCCCGAGAGGTCGATTTCTAACCGCCGATTCAGGCGGGTAGTGTAGACCCAGCCCAATTTGGCTTTTGAAGGGGCCATTAGAGGAAATCCCTAGGAAAATGAGAACAAGACTTAGATTGCAAGCTCCTTGAGGCAGCGACTGTCTTTTTGTTCTGTGTTTGTACCGTGCTTAGCACAATGGGATTCGGGTGCTATGATAACAAAAATAATAATAACTTCTGTCGTGATTCACATGGGGTATTAAGGCCCGGATCCAGCTCCCACCAAAACAGATCAGAACAGGCCCTAAGTACTTCACATCAGTGGTGCTCAGACATATGTAGTTCCCTGGCATCTCAAATGTTAATGAATTTATTTTCAGAACCTCTCTGTGATAGACTATTAGCTCCATTCCACAGATGGGAAACTGAGGCAAAAGAAAATTCAGGTCACGCGGGCAGTGTGTGACAGAGGTAGGAGTTGAACCCACCTCTCTCAAGTACGGTGCCTTGACCACAAGAGCACCCTTTGATATATGGGCTAGGCATTCAGAATGGGGGGCATTGCATTTTGTCCCAGGCACAGGCAGCCGGATGGTCTCTTGCCTGCAGCAGGATTGGCTCTGTCATATGCAGTGGTTGTCCGGGGCAGCGACAGGTTTGGGGTCAGATTGGATCCAGACTTCCTCAAGGTTTGCAGCATTCAGCTCTTGGGTTTGGACCCATCTCTGATTTCTAAGCCTCTCTTTGGTCCGTTAGTCAGTGTTGGTCCTGAAGGATACGGTACAGCTTTTATTTAGGTACCAATGCTCTGAAGTCCCATTTTAGCTTGGTTGTGGGGGCATTTACCACCAGGAGATACAGGGACCCAGTTGGTGCTTTGCGTTGTCAGGTCACTGTTATCATCTGGGGCCTGCTGAAAGGTGTTATATGAGTGCAAAGTGTTGTTATTACCATGGGTGGATTTGCTTGGGAAGGTTTGGATCTGGAGTTTGGGGTTTGGTCCCACAGCTAGGCTGTTCCACATGCAGTGTCCACAAAGCCACCAGTGTTCAGACGCTGAGTTTACATCTGTGAGGGATGTTTAGTCGCTTGGTTTCAACATGCTGTGAGCTGCTGGCTGCGGGGTGATGCTTTGCTGGATTAAGATTCCAGAGTGAAAAATGTGGTATTACACCATTATTAATCGGCCTATGAACAGCCCATTCAATGTAGGCACGCCCAGGCTGCTGCCTGCCCACACAGCGTACTTGGCACACCTAAATCTCTGAGCTAAGGTTTCAGATGTGGTAGCCTTAGGGGACAGATTATTTTTGAACCTTCATTGTTCTCTCTACATTAAGGGCCAGCTCCTCTGCCTGAGCAAATTGGCTTACCTCCAGCGAAGCCAATGGAGCTATTCCAGCATACACCAGCTGAGGATCTAAGAGTCAAAATAATTTTTTAACAGCCAGTGTTCTGGTGCAACAGCTTTAACAGCTGGAGACCAGATATTTATTGGGGTGGTTGTTCCAGTGAGGTTAAGGGCCTCATCTGGGTGCCATCGATATTCATGGGGCTTGGATCTCACCCTAAAAGGAGGGAGTGAGAACAGAGAATTGCATGGCTTTGGGGGATTGGCAAACGAACACACAGCTTTCTGCCTCTCTGCATCTGCTCAAATGCAGCACGCAGAGGCAGTGCCTGAAAGCCACTACTCTCCAAGCAGCAGGCTAGCCTCTTGTGTGCAATGAGTTGGTGGATCTCAATCCAACTCCGAGTGACTTAGTATTCGCGTAACACTGGGCTGTTTTATCAGAGCAACTCAGAACTAAATGAGGCCTTCAGTGCTATCATGTAAATGAGATCAGAATTGGATCCAAAACGGAAGGATGTGGTTGAGGAACTAGACTGGGTTTTGCGAGATCTGGGTTCTAATCCTGGCGCATTAGATGCTGCGCTCCTTTGGAAATCTGGCCACTTATTTAGGTGGCTAAATGGGAACTGAGCTCCTTTGAAAACATTGCCCTTAATTTCTCTGTGCCTCAACTCCTCATCTGTAAAATGGGGCTGATACTGATGATGATCCCCAAACTCTTGTCAGGATATGTGCCCTTCAGGTAAACATCCGAGCAGCTCAGAATCAGTCTGGATTATAATGATCTACATGAACATTAGCTGTGAAACTGTCTCACCGTCCTCAGATGTTCCTAAAGCTGAAGTGTATATTCATAGATCTGAGTCCACTTGCTGGCTAATTGTAGGGTTTTTCACGTGCATTACAGTGCAGAAGGACCTTCTGTCTCAGGCTGTCTCGGGAGTGTGTAATGAGTTACACAGTAAATGGGTGTGTACGTCTGAAGAGTCCTGAATCACCTCCCTTATCATTGCCGCACCCTCGCCACAGGAACTTCCTTCCTCAGGTGAGGCTGCATTTAAAAGCAGAGAGTGAAAGGAGACAGCCCATCAGGACTCAGGTGAGAATTCATATCAGCTGCTCAATACCGGGGGAAGAGGAAAGAAAAGTCTAGCCCCTGAGCCAGGTATGTACAGCACTGCCCAGGAGACAGGGACAAGCAGTGAGCCCTGCCAGTGCTGTGTGTTACACAGGGAAAATGGCAGCACAGGGAGGGATTTCTTGTCGAGATCGGAGGGCTGGCAGGCGTTTCCTGCAGGCAGCGAGAACATTGATATGATTAAGTTACACAAATGGAAAGTGTTTGTATAGTGCATGTACTTTGCTGCACTTTTTCAACTTTGCAAAACCTGTAAAAGACTTTGAACCTGAGCTGGAATAAAGCCTGAAAAAGAAAGGATAAAGGGTGGGACTGCAAACATAACTACACTGTAGGCAGGTGAAGAAGTGGCCTGGCTGGAGTATATTCGTTTGTTAAAATGTGTCTACTTGCTGTGTATTTGGGACCTGATTTTCAGAGCTGCTGTACACAAACAACTCTCATTATAGTCCGTGAGACTGTGGGTTCTTGGCACCTCTGAAAAAGCAGGCTGTTAGGCATGAAAGCAGAATCCTAGCAGAGTAAATTGTTCTGTTTATACCTATTGGTCACTTTAGAGAATAAAATAAAGATGCAAAGATACAGCCAGTTACTTCATCGAAGAGCTTTTTATCATTCATGAGCAGGTATTTATACTAAAAGGTTAAAAACAAAAGTGGGGGCTTGTCCATTTGTTTTAAATGTTAAATATACACTCTGGACAATCCAAAGTGCTGATTCTCCTCTCTCACTTGTGCTTGTTGAACTCTGTTGAAGTCAAGGAAGTTATCTTGTCGTAAAACGGGAAGGGAGGGTGATAAAAGGATGGTGATTTGTGCTTTCGCTTGTCGTTTTCTGAACCGTTTCATTCATGCTGCAAATTCTGTCTCAGGTGAGTCCTTGGAGGCATGGAATCTCCCCCCCGGCCCATTGTATGGACATGCTTCATTCTCCTGGGTAAGCTTTACCATCCTATCTGTGCCTCTAAAGGGGCCTTGAGGAGACCCCACTTAATATCTGCCCTTGTTTAGTAGTGGTTTTGCTGTGCTTTACTGAAAGTGGCCAGGATATTTGGGTGGGCGATGAGCCACGTTGCCCTTAGCTCCTGTAAAAACTGTTGTTCAGTCAAGTTGGTTGTAAACGCTGCCTACATTTCCCGCAGAGCTAATTAGTACATAGGGTGATCCATAGGGGTCCTCTGTGAGAAATGATTTTAGTCTTTCATGAGCAGCGAGAACAGCTAGAATCTGAGATTCACGAGATGCTTCTAGGTTATGAACTATGTATTTGCTGTTATTACTTGCATTGCCTTAGCACCTAGGAGCTCTGGTCATGGCCCCAGAACCCCAGGGTGCAAGGTGCTGTGCAAACACAGAATGAAAAGACGGTCCTGTCCCAAAGAGTTAACGATAACAGGTGGATACAGCTCGAGCACAAGGAGACAACGAGACTCCATTGGTCAGCATGACAGGCAGTGGTCTCGGCACACCAGCCGCCTAACCGACATCACGTTTTTTGGAGACATCTTGGCAGAGGAGAGCTCTAAGGAGGGATTGTTACTAAGGCCCAATTATTTAAAACCCATTTTCCTTATGTGCAACTCAGGAAGAAAATGAGTTTGCTTTTCACCACTTGTGCTGAGTGTTTTCATCTTGCCTTTACACTCCGCTTGGGCTCATGTAGTTCACCCATTCATTCTTCTCCCTTACCTCAGAGGATGCCAATTAGCCAGGCCAGTTACTGTCACCAGCAATGGTGATTTTGTGGCGTAACATAGAACATTATTAAAGGCTTGTTCTTGTGTTGTTTTAGCATTGCCACTGCTCCTGGATGCACAGGGCTCCTGTTCCCACGGTGCCTGCTACCCACCTGCGGGAGACCTGCTGATAGGACGAATCCATCACTTAAAAGCCTCGTCGACATGTGGCCTTGTGAAGCCCGAGACCTACTGCACATCATATGAGGAAGTACGTTCAACTCAGATATCTGTGCCTTCACAGACATCACCTAGGGAAGCTAATTACACTCCTGTTTTCCCCTCTCTGAGCGATGCTGCTTTTTGTCTGGCTTAGGTACTTACATGGTGCCTCAGCATCTCAGAATCTTTAACGTATTAATCCTCCCAGGCAGGGCAGTGCTAATATCCCTGTTTTACAGCTGGGGAGCTGAGGCACGGGGAGACTGTGAGTTGCCCAAAGTCACACAGGGAGTCTGGCAGAACTGAGAGTTGAGCACAGGTTTCCCAAGTCCAAGGCCACTGTTCTAATCCTGCCTCTAGGTGATTGCCATTGGAAAGTTCTGAGCAGTTGACAGGTGCCGGGAAAGAGGGCCTTTCATAACAGGGTGAAGCACAGTGCAGCTGGCACCAAGAGGCATCCTGAACTAGACAGTATTTTATTTCATGGGCACATTAAAAATGGTACAGAGAGGCCAGTTCCCCAGCCATCTGGGCAAACGCTGGGATAATAAACCCAGAATAACTCTTGCTGCTAACTCTAGCTGACAGCTCAGGATGTGACATTTCCCCAGTATAAGTCAGAGCTGAGTCAGACCTTTCAACCATTTAAGTCTGGTCTACACACAGTCTCTGTACTGGTATAACCATTTCAGTTTGGAGTGTGATGTTTTTACTATGTTCTGTACACCCTCTAGGATGGATGCAGCTATCCCAGTGAAAGGATGTCTTATATGTGTATATCTTACTCCCCTTCCTGTATGGGAACTATACCAGGATAAGTACTTTTATGTGGGTATAACTGTGCCGAGTTGGCTACGCAGTATATTTGCAGCGGTACAACTTGTGTATGTAGACAAGGCCCGGTACAGTGGGTTGGATTCATATAAGGTACATTTGAACTTCTGGATTTGTTAGAACCCAAAAGCTCAAAGTGAAATTCAAAGTAGAAATTGTCCTAAGAAGCAACATTTTCAGCTTGAAACTATGGAAAACTATTGAGTTTCCTTGGGATTTCACATGGAACTGAGTCAGCTCAGACTTACTCAAAGATTGTCAGCTCTCTATCCTAGGTCATCTCAAAGATCTCTCCCTAGGCTCAGCTGAAACTCAACCATGATGGGCCAAAAACTTCACTAACCGAGCCTAAGTTTGTTTTTTTTAACAATCTCCCAAACCAAGTGAGTTACTGGTTTCTTTGTGGGGTTAATTTCCTTAGCATATCCATTTCCTAGATCCTTGTAGTGATTTCTAATCTCAATAACTGCCACCAATGGAAGCGCAGATAGGTGCGGGTTTAGTGCTGGAGTGGAAATTGGGGTCCGTGAAAGTAGGTGTGGCTCATAAAGGAGGGATGCTTGGGAGGTAATGATGGACCTTTATTGGCCAGTATTTTGCACAGTAATTTTACAGCTCCGCTGAGTCAGATTTATACTGGAAAATGACAGGAAATGCCTGGGTGTTACTTGTTAGCAACCATGTTCGTGTGTGCAAAGATCTACACACTTCTGTAGCTGTTTGAAATTATCCAACTACTTGCCATAGTTTGGACATGATAGAACCTGTATCTGAACGCCTCTTGTCTATAATCTAGCCTAATCTCAGACCTGAACATTTGTATCTGGTTCAGTATCAAAAACTTTAGACAGATCTTTTTGCTGGACTGATGGGTTTTTTGTGTGTGTCCCGATACCTTTACACCGAATTGCTTTGCTGCTGTGAATGAAGCAGACTTCTTTACTTAAAAAACCCGACTGTCTATCACCTTGACTCTTGGACAATACAAATAGTGCATTTTTTTTCTGGTTTTGTCCTAGACGGGGTTTATTTTTCCCAATTCCCATTAATACACAACGGCTGCATTGTGCACCAGTCCGGGTTATTTACTATAAATGCCATGTTCTCAGCTGTGCCATTGCTGACTGCAGGCTGGTTCCACAATGTTAGGGTGAAGCCCCATACAAGCCTCCTACCCCTGTGCTCTTCTCATGGCATTTGGGGGCTGAGAGGGAACAGGAAGTATCTAAAAACTTATGTGAGATCTGACAGACCTGGAAAGTCCAGAATGAGCATCTAAGCTATGGCTGCTCATCTGACCAAACCCAACTTCTATTTGACAGATGCAGGTGGGTGTCTGAGGCTCATCCTAGGTGGAGGCTCTGAGGGCCAGATAGCTGGGCAGATAGTCCCAACATGAGGCACTTGTAAAAGGGACGTTTTATTTGGGGAGGAATGGGGCAGCAGTTAGCTGTGGGCATTTCTGCCTGGACTGTATCTCTGACAATGATGTTACTGTGGAAGAGACAGCATGGGCTCATGGTGCATCTCCTCGTGTAACTGAGGCCACTGAACTAAAGTAAGCAGAGATGGGTGAGGCCTTGGGGATTCAAGGTTTTGCAAAGATTGCAAATTTGATTGGCATGAGATTTAATCCCCTGGTTTTAATAAATGAGGGGGAAATGTTCAAAAGCACAAATGAGAGTTAGGTGCCCAACTCTCATTGGCTGTCAATGGCACCTAACTGCCTTTGTGCCTTTGAAACCTCCCCCTGAATAAATAGTGTGTTCTTTTAGCTAAAGAAAAGCCTGTCCTTTCCTCTCGGGAATAAGGAACTTCCGAAAGCTAAGCTAATTGGTGATCTGCATATGGTAGATATAATGGGCTTAATTTCTCACTTAAACCAGCGTAACAACATTGACTTACCTCGGGCCGTGGTACGTTTTCCACTGCCTTGAGTTTTTAAGCCTTTTTGAAAGATATGCTGTAGTTCAAACAGAAGTTATGGGCTTGATGCAGAGATTATTGGGTGAGATTCTTTTCAGACTAGATAATCCTGGTGGCTATCTATGAATCTATTATTTGAATCCCTATGTTCCCTCATCCCACCTGGTTTAAAAGAGAGCAGAATCAGGCCCACTGTACAATAATAATAATCCGAACAATACAGTTCTCTGCTGTCTGTAACTGCAGCTCAAACTAAACCAGCCCTAGGGCCATATTCTGGGAAGGTCTGATTGGCCTCAGCTCCTGTGGAAATATAGAGATGGCCAGGACGCACCCAGCCCCAGGCAGGATCCAGCCCTTGGTTTGGGATAACCGAGATGGAGGTACAGTTTAAAGGAGAGTCTATCTGTTTTGTGTCTGTGATTCTGTTTCCCTGGCATCTGCACATGCTTGATCCTTTCCCTTACTGAACGGATAGGCTCATTGTCACCTAAAATACACTCCTGCTCCTCTTTCCCAACTGCAGTGACCAATGAGTGTTAGGAATTATTCAGCTTTTGCTAGAAGGACCACTCCCCAGGCACTCCTCATTCCCTAATCTTTCCCCTCTTGAAATGCCTCTAGAGTCGAAGCATCCTGAGCTAAGATGAATCTATGCAGTGAATTCCCCCCTAGTACAAAAGCTTGTTTTATTTATTCCCATTTTATTCCCTTGCACGCTCTTTAGACAACTGTGTTACGTGACTTGTTCCGTGCCAAATACTGGCAGATTTAGAGTCCATTTTGCAACCTCAGCAGTGGTCATGTAATGAGGGGTTACTCTCATTCTGTCTCCCGTGTTGCTCCCTCCCCTTCGCCGGCCTTCTGGCCGGTGTGTACTGTCTGATTTTGGTGCCAGTGTGAATTGTCCCAAAGTGCGCTCTTTTGCAATCCCAGTTGGTCTCTTGATGCTGGCGTCATCCCAAGCCCCTGGTCCACGGTCTGCTTCCAGTGCTCTGAGTGTGACTCCCTCTAACCTTTATACTTCATACCCACTGGCTGCTAGTCAGGGCCTGAAACTCAGGCATAGAGCAAAGACCAGGAGGGATGATGCCATATATAGCAAAGAAGGGTGAGAGAGGAGGGAAATCTGACAAAACAAAGAGTTTGTTGGAAAAATACTTAGAATTTGGGAGAGTTTAGTCAGCAAAGGAAGTAAAAGCGAGAGAGAATGAATTAAAACAAATCATTGTTAAGGGAAGGTTGGTGCTGCTGAAAGGAGACCAGGGCGTGATGCAGTAGCCATTGATGTCAGCGGGAAGAATCCTATTGACTTCCTTGGGATTTGGATTAGGCCCCTATATCGTTTATTTATTTAAATATCCAGCATAGTATTTCACGGGGGGAAAGGGTATGTTCTTGACTCGTGTTAGCTAACATGTGGTAACTAACATGAGGTAAATTCCTGGTGAAGACAGCAGTTTGTATTTTAACTTGTGTCAGCAAATCGTGGTAAAGACTAAGGGAGAGTCGAGGGTTTGCCTTGAGCTGCCAACGTGTCCAAACTACAAGTTGCCTTGTCTTCACTAGGAAAAAAAGTGTGTTCTTACCGTATGTCTGCTAAAACAAAGTAAAATCCTAGTGGAGATAAGAGGTCTCTCTCTAACACCCTCTCCCCCCTCCCAACCCCACTTAGATGCCTCCTCCCTCACCTGGGACACCACTTCTATGAGTGATGCAGGGAGGGCAATGTCCATGGTGCATTCATTCCTTGGCCTGCATGCACAGAGCCAGTTCCGATTCAAACACCTGGTGGAAATTGTGGCCCCATTGAAATCCATGGGAGTTTTGTCATTGATTTCAATAGGGCCCGGATTTCACCCCATTGATGAGGGCTCTCATCCAGCCATGTGGCTAAACACATGAATAGTCCCATTGACCTCAACAGGCTTAAGAACATCCATACTGGGTCAGACCTAAGGTCCATCTAGCCCAGTATCCTGTCTGCCGACAGTGGCCAGTGCCAGGTGCCCCAGAGGGAATGAGCAGAACAGGTAATCATCAAGTGATCCATCCTCTGTCACCCATTTCCCAGCTTCTGGCAAACAGAGGCTAGGGACACCATCCCTGCCCATCCTGGCTAATAGCCATTGATGGACCTATCCTCCTTGAACTTACCTAGTTCTTTTTTGAACCCTCTTATAGTCTTGGCCTTCACAGCATCCTCTGGCAAAGAGTTCCACAGATTGACTCTGCATTGTCATGGGGTGGTCCCCTGAGGGGCCTTTCCAGCCTTGGCAACTCACCACA